CCAACAATAATAGGTCCCTGCCAGCAAAAGTAGACCCCCCCCAGTAGTCATCATCAATGATCCTTAAGCAGCCAGCAACGATAGACCACCCTCATCCTAGCAACAGTAGACCCCCACCAGCAACATTAGATCCACTCTAGCAACAGTAGACCCCACCCGCATTAGATCCACTCTAGCAACAGTAGACCCCCACCAGCAACATTAGATCCACTCTAGCAACTGTAGGCCACCCACAAGCAACAATAGATCCCCAGCAGCCTGCATCAATAAACCCTCCAACAGCCAGCAACTATAGTCCCCCCAGCAACAACAGACCCACTTACCCCAACAACAATATACCCCCCCCCCCCCATCACTACTCCCCTTTCCACCCAGCACCAATAGATCCCCCAACAGCCAGAGTCAATAACCCATCCTGCACACCCCAGTACCCCTTGCAGTACATACATTCAGTTCATACACATAAACGCCCGTATACACACTAGTTCTTAGAGAGCTAGAGAGCGGAGGGGAGAAGAGCCACTTCTGTTGATGTCGGGAGTGGATAGTCTGCGGTGCGATGTGCTGCTTCTTCTGTTCAGTGCAGGCCAGGAACAGACAAGTGTGGACAATGCTGAATGTGGAATCTTTTTTTCTTTTCACCATTTCTTTCTTTCTTTGTGTCAGGTAAGTGTAGTTTGCAGCATCTCCACACCTTTCCCTCTCTCCAAACAGATCTCTTAAATCTTTCATAAGAGATCTTGGCTTGGCAGGATCCTCTATCTCTCCACGCTTTGATTATACCCTCCGTAGCTGACTGCCTATCCTACTCCTCCTGTAGCATTGCCTGACCCAGAGACGAACAATCTCCTCTGGAGGAAGAACTGGAAGTCCCAGCATGGCGCTTGTAGTTCTTCAATTGCTAATGAGCTTCACGTTTCCTAACCTGGCCTAACCCTTCCCGCTCCTGACTCAGACTAACTTTATGAGGGTCACTCTCTATAAAGCTAGCGGCCTCCACTCTTCTCTTACCCCCCTGTCCTCCGCCTGCTCTTCTGTCCTAGCGCAGTGGGATCCATTATACCCCCTCCCCTCGCCTACTTCAGTCTGTAAATCTTCCATCTTTGCAGATATGACGATCGATGACGTGCGGCAGTATGAAAAAAACATGCAGTACAAAACGAATATTAAAGTTTGCAACCGACTTTCGCCAACGAGAGATGAAATAGACAGTGGTGCCAAAGAAAGCGTACGTCCTCTTTTACTGCTCTTATCGAATATTGGCTGGTGCAGGATATAGCGAAAATGGGGGGGGGGGGGTTATTTTCCTAGAACCCTTCACCTAAAAGTGACGTTTGGGGTTATTTTAGAGTTAATCCCATTCACAGTTCTCCAAAAGTAAAATGTAGATGCAGCAGAACGAATAATAGTGATACTCATCTACAGCAGCCAATCAGATGCTGGCTTATTACAGCCTAAGTAATAAGAGATGAGTTATGGTTGCTTGCTGTGGGTCTCTGGGAATTGCTGAGGCTGTTATAACTATGTAATAAAATGTATGTGACCCGGAGTACTGCACTGACCACTTTGGGTGGCCTTGGGTCAGGACACCAGTAAAGCCAGCATAGCAATATAGTACATCACTGTTTGAGGAAATCATCATCTCTGCCTCCTGTGAGCCTCAAACCAGGACAGTGCAGTAGGCCAATTTCAACTCCAGGTCAGATCTCCAACTCCAACCCCCCCCCCCCCCCCCCCCGCAGGATGCAACGTGCATGTTACCTGGCCCACATATTTTCTATTTAAAGTGGATTCAGGATTGAAACTGGTATTTCGGACCTCTGTTGAGTGCGAGCTGTAGGGTGGAATGATTGTAGCAGCAAAAGTATTGCCTCACTTTGGGCCTATACGGTGTACGGTGGCAAAAATAATTATTTGATCCCCTGCAGATTTTGTAAGTTTTGCTCACTTACAAAGAAATGACGGGTCTATAATTTTTATCATAGTTCTATTTTAATTGACAGAGACAGAATATCAACCAAAAATCCAGGGAAAACACGATACAAATGTAATAAATTGAGGTGCATTTAAGTGAGTAAAATAAGTATTTGATCCCCTACCAACCGGCAATGATTCTGGCTCCCACAGACTGGCTATGAGCTCATGTGGTACACAGATCAGACCTATCAATTTACGAAGGTGCTCCTAATGACAACTCGTTATGTGTATAGAAGACACCTGTCCATAGGATCTCTTTTTTCCATTCAAACCTTACCATCATGGGTAAATGACAAAAGAGTTGTCAAAGGATGTCAGGGACAAGATTTTAGACCTGCACAAGGCTGGAATGGGCTACAAAACCATCAGCAAGAAGCTTGGTGAGAAGGAGACAACTCTTGGAGCGATTATTCGCAAATGGAAGAAATACAAAATAACCATCAAGCTCTGGAGCTCCATACAAGATGTTGCCTCATTGGGTTAAGATGGTCATGAGAAAAGTGAAGGATCAGCCCAGAACTACATGGGAGGAACTTGTGAATGATCTCAAGGCAGTTGGGACCACAGTCACCAAACACACCATTGGTAACACATGAATTGAAATCCTGCAGTGCCCACAAGGTCCCCCTCCTCAAGAAGGCACATGTAATGGCCTGTCTGAAGTTTGCCAATGAACATCTAAATGATTCAGAGAAGGATTGGGAGACATTTGTTTGGTCAGATGAGACCAAAATTGAGCTCTTTGGACATTAACTCATCTCACCATGTTTGGAGGAAGAAAAATGCTGACTATGACCCTAAGAACACGATCCCTACAGTCACGCACGGAGGTGGAAACATTATGCTTTGTGGCTGTTTCTCTGATAAAGGTACAGGCTGAGTTGAGGGGCCAATGAACGGGGCCATGTATTGTAAAATCTTGAATGAGAACCTTCTTCCCTCAGCCAGAACACTGAAAATGGGTCTTCAAGCATGACAATGACTGATGGTCGTGGATGGGTCTTCCAGCATGACAATGATCCAAAACATACCGCCAAGGCAACAAAGGAGTTGCTCAAGAAGAAGCGCATTAAGGTCATGGAGTGGCCTAGCCAGTTTCCAGACCTTAATCCTATAGAAAAGTCATGGAGGACGCTGAAACTTAAAGTTGCCAAGCAACAGCCAAGAAACCATAAGGATTTAGAGAAGATCTGCAAAGAAGAGTGGACCAAAATTCCTCCTGAGATATCTGCAAACCTGGTAACCAACTACAAGAAGGTCTCACCTCTGGGTTTCTCCATCAATTATTAAGTCATATTTTTCTTGGGGATCAAATACTTATTTTACTCACTGAACTGCAACTCCATTTATAACATTTGTATCGTGTATTTTTCTGGATTTTTGGTTGATATTCTGTCTCATCATTTAATATACACATATGATAAAATTATAGATCCTTAATTTCTTTGTAAGTGGGCAAACTTACAAAATCTGCAGGGGAGCAAATAATTATTTTCCACCCTGTATATGGGCTAAAGTTCCTCGTGGTTGTACATAGTGATGGCACGTCCTATACATCCACCACTCATATGTGGTGCTGGAATGGGGTCCTCCAGCTCCTGCATCTCACCAGAGGAAAGAGGCAAGGTTTTGCCAAGTCACCAGAATTGGAAAGGTGTGAAATACTTGGATCAAGGGATGGACTTCAGAACACAAACAAAAATGTTCCCGCACACTTACCAGCTAACCTTCAAAAATAACAAATTGACTCTGTCTAATAATTTGTTAATAACAGAGGGTTTAGTTTGCAAATATATGTGTAAGCTGCAGGGCCTAAGTCAAGGCTCCTCATATACTGTGGTCCTAACTAGTTTTGAGAGTCTCCAAGTTAGAGCACATATAGCAGTTGAAAGATAAAGGGCAGGTTTGCATCTTAAAGGCCCAGGGACGCACAGGACGCACAGAAAAACCACAATGGCAGCTGAAGGCATCCATTAAGTTCCCCATCAAATTCAACCAACTGTACAAAGATGTGGCAACCACCCCAACCTATAACTAGCCTTTGCAGTAAGGTGCACTTGGAAGGGCAAAGCACAGTACAAACAAACATAAATTTCTCAGCACACTTACCAGCCAGCCTTCAAAACAGACAAATTGTCCCAGTCTAACAATTCATCGTCTTTATAGTAATGCCTTGTACATGGGCTTTCAGCTTTCAAACTACTGGGGTCCTTTGGGACAACCAACTAGTCTTTTCGATTTCTGTGGTCTAAAGTATACCATGCATGGTACCACAGTGATTGGTGACAGGTGGCTGTGCTTAAAAGATGTGGTTTATTGTTACACACTCCCACATCTTCCTACAGTGGCTTGTGTTGTGGTGATGGGCATTCGGTCATAATATCTCAGAACTGCAAAGAAAGTCGGTGCTGGAAAATTTCTCTCTAGCATATGCTGTGTTCATAGGTCTAAATGGGGAACAGGTAGCTTTTCAACACCAAACACTGAATGTGGGTCCTGCACTGATATGTGTCTTAGGACTCGTTCACACCATGATGCAGAGACACCAGCTTTTCTGCACACGTTCTGCAAGGTCACAACGAAATCTATGTGCCTTGTTCACAACACTGCTGAATCTGGAACATGTATAAAACTCATTGAATGAGCATGAAAACTGATAGCTCTGTAAGTGAAATCTGCGTGTCAGTTTCCATCAGTTTTTCTGCACCCATGATGTGGTAAGGCATCCCCATTCAGGGCCACCAGCCCAACATATCCTATTAGGACTGGCTCAGGGGGCAGATGCCCCCCATCCCTGCTTGCTGTGCTTTCAGTACTGTTTCTGAGTAAGCCATGGAGTACCGGCTTTTGGTCTTTTTAATACCAGGGTATCAAAAACACCCACTATGTATGAGGCTCAATGCAGCTTCATCCTCTAGCTCAGGGTTTCTCGGCCAGGGTTCCTCAGAAAGATTTATAGGGGTTCCTTAAGCAATGGGCAATTTCTGCCTTTCAGAAAGTTCCACTGACAACATAGAGCTTTGTAGCTATCTGTAAGGGGGTAATTCTTCCCAACGATCACAAATGTAAGGAGCATTCTTCCCACTGACCCTCAATGTAAGGGACATTCTTCCCACTGACCCGCAATGCAAGGGACATTCTTCCCACTGACCCCCAATGTAAGGGACACTCTTCCCACTGACCACCAATGTAAGGGACATTCTTCCCATTGACCCCCAATGTAAGGGACAGTCTTCCCACTGACCCCCAATGTAAGGGACATTCTTCCCACTGACCACCAATGTAAGGGACATTCTTTCCACTGACCCCCAATGTAAGGGACATTCTTCCCACTGACCACCAATGTAAGGGACATTCTTCCCACTGACCCCCAATGTAAGGGACATTCTTCCCACTGACCCCAATGTAAGGGACATTCTTCCCACTGACTTCCAATGTAAGGGGCATTCTTCCCACTGACCACCAATGAAGGGACATTCTTCCCACTGACCCCCAATATCAGGGGCATTCTTCCCACTGACCACCAATGTAAGGGGCATTCTTCCCACTGATCAACAATGTAAGGGATATTCTTCCCACTGACCCCCCAATGTAAGGGTTATTCTATTCTTCCCACTGACCACCAATGAAAGGGACATTCTTCCCACTGACCCCCAATATAAGGGGCATTCTTCCCACTGACCCCCAATGTAAGGGACATTCTTCCCACTGACCCCCAATGTAAGGGACATTCTTCCCACTGACCCCCAATGTAAGGGACATTCTTCCCACTGACCTCCAATGTAAGGGACATTCTTCCCACTGACCACCAATGTAAGGGACATTCTTCCCACTGACCTCCAATGTAAGGGACATTCTTCCCACTGACCACCAATGTAAGGGACATTCTTCCCACTGACCCCCAATGTAAGGGACATTCTTCCCACTGACCCCAAATGTAAGGGACATTCTTCCCACTGACCCCCAATGTAAGGGACATTCTTCCCACTGACCCCAATGTAAGGGACATTCTTCCCACTGACCCCCAATGTAAGGGACATTCTTCCCACTGACCCCCAATGTAAGGGGCATTCTTCCCACTGACCACCAATGTAAGGGACATTCTTCCCACTGATCCACAATATAAGGGGCATTCTTCCCACTGATCACCAATGTAAGGGACATTCTTCCCACTGAGCCCCAATGTAAGGGACATTCTTCCCACTGACCTCCAATGTAAGGGACATTCTTCCCACTGACCACCAATGTAAGGGACATTCTTCCCACTGACCCCCAATGTAAGGGACATTCTTCCCACTGACCCCCAATGTAAGGGACATTCTTCCCACTGACCACCAATGTAAGGGACATTCTTCCCACTGACCACCAATGTAAGGGACATTCTTCTCACTGACCCCCAATGTAAGGGACATTCTCCCACTGATCACCAATGTAAGGGACATTCTTCCCACTGATCACCAATGTAAGGGACATTCTTCCCACTGACCCCCAATGTAAGGGACATTCTTCCCACTGACCCCCAATGTAAGGGATATTCTTCCCACTGACCCCAAATGTAAGGGACATTCTTCCCACTGACCCCCAATGTAAGGGGTATTCTTCCCACTGACCCCCAATGTAAGGGGTATTCTTCCCACTGACCACCAATGTAAGGGACATACTTCCCACTGACCCCCCAATGTAAGGGACATTCTTCCCACTGACCTCCAATGTAAGGGACATTCTTCCCACTGATCACCAATGTAAGGGACATTCTTCCCACTGACCACCAATGTAAGGGACATTCTTCCCACTGACCACCAATGTAAGGGGCATTCTTCCAATTGATCACCAATGTAAGGGACATTCTTCCCACTGATCACCAATGTAAGGGGCATTCTTCCAATTGATCACCAATGTAAGGGACATTCTTCCCACTGATCACCAATGTAAGGGGCATTCTTCCAATTGATCACCAATGTAAGGGACATTCTTCCCATTGACCACCACACTATTGTATCATGAGATGTAGATATAAGTAACTATTAGCAGGGGTTCCCTGAGACCAGAACGTTATTTAAAGGGTTTCTCCATGTTGGTAAGGTTGAAAAAGGCTACTCCAGCTGCTGCAAGGGAGCACAAATGTGTTTGGCCTACTGTATGACACATGGTTCTTCTTAGTCTGTGTCATGACCTCCCATAATGCCTTGAAAAAGGGATCCTGCAAAATGTTGACTTTTGATGTCTGTTGCCTTATGTGAATAAATGACAAAATTAACACAATACTGAGGTGTGCTGGTGAAGATCCTTATTTTCCTAAGAACCTCCCATAGTGTCATAAGACTTCATGCATAAGGACCATCACGTTTAATGTCACTAACATGACTAAAGTCCCAACCTCTCTATTGACTAAGAAAGTAATGGCAACCAATATGGCTGCATGCTGGGCCTTTCCAGAATCCCTCACCCATTATCTCATAATGCTTGCAACTTTGGATGGAGTCAGAGAGAACTGGAGTGAGCTACTGAGGTATAATTCATGTGTTACGGTAAAGTCTCATTTTGGACCATGTCTGGAGAGATATCTTGGGTTTCCCTCTATAGAGTCATACAACACTTAGGCGGCTGATTTATACAAACCAAAGAAAAGAAAACAAGAATACAAAATATAGTTATTGCCAAAAGAAAGCAATCAGGTTTTACATTTCAATTTATGAACACATGAATCAAGAATTCAGATTGGCTTCCAAGGGCAACAACTCCATTGTGTGCCGTTTTCCTTTGTGTGGCCATTCTCTGAGGTTTATATTGAGGACAGGGATACTCCAAGTGCATATCAAGCCAAACACTTCCTTATGGTATTAGTTAACTAATTGGTTTTACTCAGAATCCTTTTGTTATGTTATTTTTTTTCTCCAGCTAAGCAGTGATTTGAATACTCTGACCCTCATTTGACCCAGAAATTTGGGGGTACAAGCGAGAAAAACTTCAGGAGAGGTCTCTGTATAAGTTATAAAACCTTAAAGGAGGCTTGTCATGTTTGCTCATACTTGCTGGATAAGGAGTTTTTAGTCTTCCCATGGAAGGAGCTGTTTTTTGTCACTAGTTCCAGGCACCCGAATCAGTGGATGTTGTATATTCTGCTTCTCAGACAGCTTTGACCAATCATGAGAAGTTCCTGTTCATGTTCCATACATGTAACGTGTTCATTTTTCCTCCCTGCCCACAGACATGACGATGGACGAAGTACGAGAGTATGAAAGGACCACTCAGGAAGCCACTAACAAGAAAATTGGGATTTTCCCACCCGCCATTTCCATCACTGACATTACACTGCCTTCTATTGCCCGCAGTGGACCCTCCAGTGCTCCTTCCACCCCACTGACCACCGAAGCTCCGGAGTTCCTGACCGTCCCTAAAGACCGCCCACGGAAGAAATCTGCACCGGAAACCTTAACGCTTCCCGACCCAGCCCTTAACGCACAAAGCATGTTTACATCTAATAAGCCATCTCTTCCGAATCCGGAATAACTTTGAGTCGAGAGCAGGACCCCCCGCCTACCCCACCCCCCACCACCTCCAGACGCAAAGGGGTTTTACAACCCATTTTCAACAACATAACCATAGGCTGATGCATTTCGAAGCCATGCCTGTAGACTCCTTATGGCCGTAAGCTGTTCGATTCAGTGCTTCCCATATCATTGCTCCCTGTTACCGCTTACATACAATCTCCTCTGCTGCTCGATGGTGACAGTGGCCTCTAGCGATAACAAGAAGAGCTTGTTTAATGGTGTCAGCCATCTTTGTTTTAGACGGGTAGTTGTACAATAACACGACAATCCATAATGTAAAGCTTTAACCCCCGTTTAGCCTATCTTATGTAAATATTTCCAAGTCTACCAGATGAATTCAGTTTCTTGTCGAGTCTTTTTGTTGATAGGTCCAGAATTTACAGATACGGGAAAGCCGTCTTTGCACATGAACAGTACAGAATAGAAGAAAACTTGCGTATCTTTTGCATTTCGGCTCTGTAGAACTCAGCTTTGTGATCTGTTGTCACCTGTTTTCCAGAACTCAACGGAAAAAGAGAGAAAAGACAATCGTCCAATAAATATGACCACGCGGTGACAAGTGTTATTCCAGTGACATTTAGATGTATAGAGAACGCTGGTGCAACAAAAATGGAGATAACTCAAGAAGGACTTTACCATTTAATTTTTAACATCTGCTTGTGTCCTATGAGCCGAAGCATTTTTAATCCCTTTTCTGTCACATCCGTGTTCTGGAAGAGAAGCCATTCAATATCCAGCTTATTACAGGTGACCATTTAAGGTCATGGGACTGGTTTGATGCTCTCTGGCTCCTCGGGGGCGGGGCTTTCTGCCGGGGATGCATGTTTTAGAGATCCTCTATATCTAGTTTAACGGGTAAGCACATTAATCTGTACCGATGTAGCATGAGGGCAGGCTGCTGCTGCTAGCACAAGAAGGCGACAGCGAACTTTGTTAGTAATGTGATAAGGCATCCTTTGTACATACGCGTTAGAGTAATGGATTGTGGGAAGCATGAAGCGGTTCATTCATGGGGCGGACTCCGTCATTATTATTTTCTTAATCATAAAATAGTGAAAATCAGAGTATGCTTCAACATATCCTGTGAAGAGCGTATTGATATTTGGATGAGGACAGACATTCGTCGTATTTTTTTTAAAATCCACGTAGCGGGATTATCCGTGGTTGTCCACGTCTACCTGCCACAGACGGAACTGCAAAGAAGACAATACATTGGAGGTGGTAACTTTGGCCCCAGGAAGCCTTCCTCTGCAAGAAGAATAAAGAGTTTTGTATTTTTATTGTACGGTAAATGTTTTTATATTGTTCTTTTTTCCCCGGCGTCCTATGTTCTGTATATGGGAATATAACAGTGTTGCTTCTTTTATATTCATGTCCTATTGGTGCGATGTACTGCTACCTGTCGTTGTGTTACTTTCATTACGCTGAACTCAATTTGTCTCTTACTAAATTGACTAGCAGCTGAAAAGCATTTCGTTGCATGCGAAAAAAAAAAAAAAAAATCATTACAAAATATGCTTTTCTACAAATTTGCAGATTGTTTTGCGATGATCTATTTTTGTTATTAAGGTTTATGAAACATTTCGAAGAGCAGAAACTGGAGACTGAGACTGGGGAACCCCAACCTCTGGGGAACCCCAACCTCTGTTCTGAACAAGATAATCACAATGTAATTTGTTACTTAATGTACAGAGGATTGTTCAGTGCCGAGTGGATGGTCATGTAGGATGTAGAATACCAGTCTGCCAATGTTATTAGTACGGCCGTATGTCCAAATGCTGGAAATGTCATGGGCCATTTTTTTTTAGATGGATATTGGATATACCCAATAAATGGAATGATCCAAAACAGTAGCTGATTAATTAGGCAAACTCCTTTTCAGTATTTTCCCCTTTTCCCTCAATCGTTTCTCTGCTTTGACAATCCACAAACACTTAAAGTGGTTGTAAACCTCAGACATGAAAAATGAACAAAGCATATCCCTCTACTAGTTGTCTCAGTCCATGCCTCATGGGACTTGTAGTTTGGCAACATCTGGAGGGCTGCCAGTTTCACACCCGTGCTCTATAGTGTGTGCTTGTCTCAGTCCAGAGCACTAAGTGTCATTTCTGTCTGCTGCCTCCTTCCTCTGCTATCAGCATGAATCACTTCTGACAAGTTTTCCCGACACCAAGAGATAAATGGTGACGGGAGGAGCCCGAGCACACAGCCTGAGATTGACAGCCTCAGCTTTATTCCTGCGAGCTCTGAGAAGGAGGTGTGTCTCTTCCCTCCAATCAGTTCTCACTGAGCTCTGCAGAGTGTAACTTCAGCTCCCTCTCCCCTGCTTTCTGAAAGCTCAGACAAGCTGTGTAAATGTTGCACTTTGAATGGCTGTAGAGGAGGGAATACTGCAGCTAAACCGGTACAACTTATGTAGGAGGATTTGTTTCATCTCAGTGTATCACGTGAGACCAGTTACTTCACTGGGTATATGAAAGCGTTTACAACCACTTTAAGGACTTGTACACTTTGTAGCTTTTGTCTAAGTAACTGACTTACCTGCTTTTTGGGTGTCCCAATTAAACTTGTAAATAAAACAATAATCTGCTTCTAAATTAACTTCTCAGTTTTAATCACATTTTGGTGAGATCAAAACAAAGGCTATGCAAAAACCTTACATTTGGCTTTGTTTAGAAAGAAAGCAACCACATCCTGAGTAGAGTCTGTATGCGCGTTATGTCATAAATACATAAATACACTATATTGCCAAAAGTATTGTCCCCCCTCCCAATCATTGGATTCAGGTTTTCCCAATCCCCTCCCAATCATTGGTGTTCCAATCCCTCCCATGTGATTCAGGTGTTCCAATCAATCATTGATTCAGGTGTTCCAATCCCCCTCCCAATCATTGGATTCAGGTGTTCCAATCCCCTCCCAATCATTGGATTCAGGTGTTCCAATCCCCTCCCAATCATTGGATTCAGGTGTTCCAATCCCCTCCCAATCATTGGATTCAGGTGTTCCAATCCCCTCCCAATCATTGGATTCAGGTGTTCCAATCCCCTCCCAATCATTGGATTCAGGTGTTCCAATCCCCATCCCAATCATTGGATTCAGGTGTTCCAATCCCCCCATTCATTGGATTCAGGTGTTCCAATCCCCTCCCAATCATTGGATTCTGGTGTTCCAATCCCCTCCCAATCATTGGATTCAGGTGTTCCAATCCCCTCCCAATCATTATATTCAGGTGTTCCAATCCCCTCCCAATCATTGGATTCAGGTGTTCCAATCCCCTCCCAATCATTGGATTCAGGTGTTCCAATCCCCTCCCAATCATTGGATTCAGGTGTTCCAATCCCCTCCATATCATGTGATTCAGGTGTTCCAATCCCCTCCCAATCATTGGATTCAGGTGTTCCAATCCCCTCCATATCATGTGATTCAGGTGTTCCAATCCCCTCCATATCATGTGATTCAGGAGTTCCAATCCCCTCCATATCATGTGATTCAGGTGTTCCAATCCCCTCCATATCATGATATTCAGGTGTTCCAATCCCCTCCCAATCATTGGATTCAGGTGTTCCAATCCCCTCCCAATCATTGGATTCTGGTGTTCCAATCCCCTCCCAATCATTATATTCAGGTGTTCCAATCCCCTCCCAATCATTGGATTCAGGTGTTCCAATCCCCTCCCAATCATTGGATTCTGGTGTTCCAATCCCCTCCCAATCATTGGATTCAGGTGTTCCAATCCCCTCCATATCATGTGATTCAGGTGTTCCAATCCCCTCCCAATCATTGGATTCAGGTGTTCCAATCCCCTCCATATCATGTGATTCAGGTGTTCCAATCCCCTCCATATCATGTGATTCAGGAGTTCTAATCCCCTCCATATCATGTGATTCAGGTGTTCCAATCCCCTCCATATCATGATATTCAGGTGTTCCAATCCCCTCCATATCATGTGATTCAGGTGTTCCAATCCCCTCCATGGCTACAGGTGTATACAATCAAGCCCCTAGGCATGCAGACTGCTTCTACAAACATTGGTGAAAGAATGGGTCGCTCTTAGGAGCTCAGTGACTCCAAGCGTGGTCCCGTAATAGGTGGCCACCTGGGCAATAAGTCCATCCGTGATATTTCCTGGCTACTAAATATTCCACGCTCAACTGTTAGTGGGATTATAACAAAGTGGAAGCCACTGGGAACAACAGCCACTCAGCCACCAAGTGGTAGGCCACGTCACATGACAGGGCGGGGGTCAGCGCATGCTGAAGCGCACAGTGCGCAGAAGTCGCCAACTGACTGCAGAGTCAATAGCTAAAGACCTCCAAACTTGGTGTGGCCTTCAGATGAGCCCAACAACAGTGCGTAGAGAGCTTCATGGAATGGGTTTCCATGGCCGAGCAGCTGCATCCAAGCCTTCCATCACCAAGTGCAATGCAAAGCGTTGGAGGCCATGGTGTAAAGCACGCCGCCACTGGACTCTAGAGCAGAGGAGACGTGTTCTCTGGAGTGACCAGTCCAGCTTCTCTGGCAATCCGATGGACGTGTCTGGGTTTGGCAGTGGCAAGGAGAGCAGTACTTGCCTGACTGCATTGTGCCAAGTGTAAAGTTTGGTGGAGGGGGGATTATGGTGTGGGGTTGCTTTTCAGGGGGTGGGCTTGGCCTCCTAGTTCCAGTGAAGGGAACTCTTAAGGCGACATTTTGGACAATTTCATGCTCCCAACTTTGTGGGAGGAGTTTGGGGATGGCCCCTTCCTGTTCCAACATGACTGCCCACCAGTTCACAAAGCAAGGTCCATAAAGACATGGAGGAGCCAGTTTGGGGTGGAGGAACTTGACTGTCCTGCACAGAGTCCTGACCTCAACCCCATAGAACACCTTTGGGATGAATTAGAGCGGAGACTGTGAGCCAGGCCTCCTCCCCCGACATCAGTGCCTGACCTGACAAATGTGCTTCTGGAAGAATGGTCCAACCTTCCCATAGACACCCTCCTAAACCTTGTGGACGGCCTTCCCAGAAGAGGTGAAGCTGTTATAGCTGCAAAGGGCGGGGCCAACTCAATATTGAACCCTACGGACTAAGACTGGGGGGCCATTAGAGGTCATGTGTGTGGAAAGGGCGGGGCCAACTCAATATTGAACCCTACAGACTAAGACTGGGGGGCCATTAAAGGTCATGTGTGGGGAAAGGGTGGGGGCAACTCAATATTGAACCCTACGGACTAAGACTGGGGGGCCATTAAAGGTCATGTGTGTGGAAAGGGCGGGGCCATCTCAATATTGAACCATAGGGACTAAGACTGGGGGGCCATTAAAGGTCATGTGTGTGGAAAGGGCGGGGCCATCTCAATATTGAACCCCACAGACTAAGACTGGGGGGCCATTAAAGGTCATGTGCGTGGAAAGGGCGGGGCCAACTCAATAATGAACTCTACGGACTAAGACTGGGCGGCCATTAAAGGTCATGTGTGTGGAAAGGGTGTGCCAACTCAATAATGAACTCTACGGACTAAGACTGGGCGGCCATTAAAGGTCATGTGTGTGGAAAGGGCGGGGCCAACTCAATATTGAACCCTACGGACTAAGACTGGGGGGCCATTAAAGGTCATGTGCATGGAAAGGCAGGCAGCCAATATAGTGTATGTGTCGGGTGGTCATAAAGGGGTTAATATACTACAGGGGGTTCCTGCTTCCCTGCTTTACTGAAAAGTAGCATAAAAGATAAAGGCAACACAGCATGCTGCAGAGAAGGAGCATTGTTCTCTGTGGAAGCAGTGGTCTCTCTGCAGAGGTCTGACATGCACCTTCCCGATCTGTAGCTCTGCTATCAGCACTCACCTCTTGCTGATGTTCAGCAGGGAGCATGTCGGACTTGTGCAGAGAGACAAACTGGGTCCTTCTCCCATGCCATGCTGGCAGGGGACGGGCTTTTCTACTCAGGCTGTGGCTGCTGTCTGTAAGACTGGGCACACTGTGTTTCGATGCACCTGGGATGTACGTCGTTGATCTGAACTCTTCTACTTGAAGCTGCTGTGTAGATGTCACTGTCCCCTCGGTTTGGAGGGAAGAAGACATTCTGAATTTCTTGCAATCCTCACTGCTGAGAATTGTAATAAATTCGGCTTTTTTCCCAGCACATCATTCAGCGGGATCCAATTAAAGGTGTAGGGAGGTCCGGAGCTCGGAAATCACTTTGCAGAATGGAAAATATTCTGCAGAACGGTGATAAGAAAAATGAGCCCTCTCCATTCTCGGGAGGAATCCCGTCCAATGAAAGCAAACCTCAATTTCCAAGTTGGCTGCAAAAACAAAATGTTCTTCTGAATGGATCCACCAATCCAATTACCGGGATTCTATATTACTGGCGGGATTCATCTCTAAATAATACGCACACTGCTGAAAGAGAACGCGTACTATTAATATATCCGGGCCAATCACTGGAGTGTACAAAGACGCCATTATATACCTTGTCATGAGGTCCTCACTATTACCCCTCGGATGGTCGGATCCAGATAGTCGGTATTCCAACTTGAGGTGCGACTTGCAACACATCTGCAGCTTGCAAAACACAGACATCTGCAAGTCGCAGCTTAGGTAGCGCATGCACTACTTTAGAAATCAGTGCGGCTCCGACCAAGTTGGAATCCCACCGATATGACCGCTGTAATTTCGGACAATGGGGTGCGATTTGGCATGTGATTTGCAAGTTACATGGCATCGCAAGTCGCACCCGGTGTGCCCGGGGTGTCATGAGACCTCAAGTCAGTTCATGGATCCGGGTCTGATGTCTGCCAAGACCATTGCAGATACCTTCAGACATCCCTTCTGCCCATGCTCCATCATCTGCTGTCCTGATTGGATGAGCAGTGCGCAGGCTACAGAGGATGCCTTCCTCACACACCACCCTCCGGCCTCCTCTGATTTACTAACAGGAATTGGACCTGTGCTCACTTTCAGCATCCGGTTACGTGAAGGCGGAGTCGTCGTATTTAGGAATTCCCCTGCATGTGATTGGATTGTTTTTTTTTACTTCGTTGCACTAACCCTTAAAGGGTAACTCCACTTGTATGAGAACTAAAATATAGCAATTTTTTTTTTAATGTAGCGTAGCTGCACGAGTCTTGTTGTCCTTTACTTTTTATTAAAATTCCTATTCGATCTACATCTGATATTTTCTGTAAAATTCAGTGCAGTAGGACAACATGGAGGTGTATGACACGCCTCCAAAAATGTCATTTCCTGCTTGTGCGATCGGCTCACTGATTTTCTGCACTAGGATACAAGTCATGTTTTAGGCATCCCCTGCTATACGCATGTTAGGTACTCCCCAAATGTAAAAGGGATGCAGACCCTGCAGCTTTCTCATCAGAACACTGAAGGTACACCAGGTGATTATAATGAACCAGACCCTCCCGTTCAGAATCATTCAGCACAAGACGTGTGGAATCAGATATTTCTTCAGAGCAGCAAAAGGTCGGAATCTGCTAGACAGGGGTGTTTTTCCTCATCAAAAGTGGAGTTACTCTTTAACCTGTTGACACTGAGCACACACAATATGCGGCCTCTCAACAGCTGGGTCTTTGTGCCGAGGGGACGCATATTTGCGTACCACAAAGTAAACAAAGGATTGCCGAGAGTGTGCGCCTGGAGTGCTGCTGGCACATTTATTGGTTCCTCACGGAAAGGTCCCAATCACTACCTGCATTCGGGAGCTTTCCGATCAGCCAGTCGCAGAGGTCACATGACCCTAAAACTGACCTCCCAGCGTCACAAACTCCTTAAAGGGCTGGGAGGTAGAGGCGTCAAGGGCTTAAGTTATAATTAGTAAATCAAAGTCTTTGACCCCTTGATGCCGATTGCACGCAAATATGCCTCTCGGCGCCTGGGCCTTGACGCCGAGTGGCCGCATATGTGCTGACAGTGCACGCTTCCAGCACATATGTCCACTACTTCCGGAAAGGTCCTGATCTCCCCTTTCAATCAGGACCTTATCCGATCATGTGACCTCCCTGATGGCGAATCACGGCGGTCACATGACCCTAAAACCCAGTCCTGCCTCACGGCTTCTGAAATTCTTAAAGGGCCGGGAGGTGCCGGCGCCAAGAGGTTAATCTGGAGCAATGATTATTTTAGGACTGCAAGCTGCTGGAAATGGTTCAGCCAGGTAAGCAGCATCAATGTGTATCCTTCCATCGAAGGCATATCTAGTCTTGGTACAAGGC